GGATCAAATTGGTACTGTGATGTTTCTTTTGAACTACTACTGTGACTGATAAACACCTACTGCTGAGAAAGGGTTTTAGTTCTATGGGGTGGGAAGCCCCTCTGTGTGGTGGCATTAGGAATATTAAGCGTGACTTTTAATTGTGAAAGGTTTTATAAAAGGGCTGTGATATACTGACTTATTAACTGTCTACTTTTTGTTGAGAGGAAAAAAAAAGAGAAACCATAACCTCCAATTGCGTTACGTTGGAGTGGGCTTGATCGATATCATACTTGAATTCGTTAATTTCAGTGCAGTCTTTTTCAGCATTTCTATTTTTAATTATAAATCAAGAATCTCATAGTCTTGGACTGTTCTTTTAGATTCTGGATACTTTGTTAAAGATGGAATAATTTCGTTAATAAAATACTATATGTTACTGGAGTTTGAGTTTCTAGAAGAAAGTTTCTGCAGCGTGTCCTTTTCATGCAGTTGATCTAGTGAAGAGATGGTTCAAGAGGTGATAATTATGAAGCAAAGTAAGTTTTCTTTTTTAAGGTAAGGGTGTTGGTAGGGATTTAATTAATCGTTAAATTTGAATAATAAATGAATCATAAGGCTACCAAGTTGTTTTCGCACTGCAGCCTGCTTTATTGTCAAGTTAGTTGGGGGATCGTATCCATCATATGATAGAACTGTGAGCTCTTTCTGTGCAAACCAGAGGTGGAAGGCAGCTTAAACACCATTTGGTGGAGATAGCTGGTCAATTATGCTTCTGTTTAAAGAGGGTGATAATAATTGAGCCATCAGTAATTTAGATAAAGTTGGAAAAAATAATTGTGAGAAATGAGGGGAAAAAAATGGAGAGCTCTGCAAGTGGCTTTATGGTAGTCTTTAAATAGCAATAGCTCTTAGGGTTTAGATCGAGTCATCAGAAATAAGCATTTAAAAATGCATCAACTGTGTTTAACAGCAGGACTGATACTACCAGCTCTGTCAGCTGGCGCCTGGGGCTGGCAGAAGGTGTGGCTGGGACACCCGCCTGCTGGGAGGACTTGCTGTGCTGGTTGCCCTGGCAGGGACCCGCGTAGGCTCTGGCCCCAGTGGCTCCTGGAGCCGGCTCTGCAGGGGCACCTTGGCTGGCATCAGGGCTGGGTGCTGGAGAAGTAATCATTTAAGAACCTCTGCAGTAGGCGCTGCCATAACCAAAAAAGGAGACTGAGGCACAGCATTGCAGAAAGTCACTCTGGAGGCAGAAATGGATCCAGGATCTGTGTGTATGTGTGTTATGGGTCAGTTACATATATATATATATATATACATACACACAC